CCTCCTCCTCCTCCTCCTCCTCCTCCTCTTCCTCCTCCTCTTCCTCCCCCTTCCTCCTTCCTCCTTCCCCCTCCTCCTCCTCCTCCTCCTCCTCCTCCTCCTCCTCCTCCTCCTCCTCCTCCTGTTTCTTCATCCCACCGTGGAGGTGCTGGAACTCTCCATTTGCTGGCGCCCGCGGCTCCCTCGAGCGCACAGGCCTGCGGAGAGGCGTGGAGGAAGAAGAGACTCGGCTGGGCCTGTACAGGGCTCGAGCCAAACAGTGTTTCTCGTTTTCGTGTTCGCTTTCGTTGTCCTTCGTTCTGTTCTTTGTGTGTTCGTCTTCCTTCGTTGTGGAATCGTTCTGCCTCTGCTGCGAAGCGAAACCAAAACGAAACGGTCCACGAAATCGCCAGAACACCGTTTCGCTCGAACCCTGGGCCTGTAATATACTTGGTATCTGTCGCTACTAGCGCCTGAGGCTCCCTCGAGCAGCCAGGACGCTTTAGAGATGTGGCGGGCGAGAAGGGACCGACTGGCTCTGTGTAAATTGCCGTTGCTGGCGAGCGAGCAGCGCTCCAGGAAAACGTAAAGAAGCAGGGGGGGTGGAGGCGGTGGGGGGTCTAAACTGGCTGGCACCCCAGAAAATCGGTCAGGAGGGGCGACTAGGCCAAGTCAGCTCCAAATAAATATGTCCCCAGACCACTCCTGGGGTCCATCTGGTGCAAATGCTCACCCCGGGTCAGATTTTTTCACGGGGCCTGAAAACGGCCCCCAAAAGACGAAAAAGGCAAAACCCAGAACCTTGAACCTGGCGGCCCTTCCTGCTCGCCAAAACCAGTGTTGTGCCACCTTAGACCCCCAGACGGCTCCAAGGAGGAGGAGGGGGAGGAGGAGGAGGAGAACGGGGCATCGAGGACACACTCACTCCGCACAGGAAAAACAACGACGTGATCGCCGAGCACCCGCACCCAAAGCTCGAAAAGGGTGCCGGGCGGAGGAGAACGGGGCGACAAAAGCCTGTGGTCCGTGGGTCCGGATGGCAGAACGATCTGGCGCTGAGGCGGCGAGCCCAGGGGGAAGCTGGAGTGATGGGCCTATTTTCCACCACCACCACCACCACCACCACCACCACCACCATAAGTTGCAGGGGGAGGGGGTCCTCCTCCTCCTCCTCCCCCTCCTCCTCTTTGTCCTCCTCCTCCTCGTCCTCCACCTCCTTACCCCCTCCAATTTATAGCGTTGGTGGTGGAAAACAGGCCCATCATGGAGGGGGCGGGACTCCCCAGAAGGCTCGGGAGGCCTCGGGCCTTCAGGGAAGTGTTCAGAGCCTTCCCCGAGCACATACAAGGGAAAAAGTCCCGAAAGGCCAGAGGGCTCCTGAGAAGCCCCACCGCCTTCTGAGAAGGCCTGCCCCCGCTGACTTCCCCCGGTCGCGCCGCCGAGGAGCTCCGCGTGCACACCATCGAGTCAGACGACGAGCTGCTGCGAGCCGCACTCCTTGCATGGCACCTCGGGCGCCTCCTCCCAGCGAGCCTGCCACTCGTCCTTGTAGTACGACAGGAACTCCGCGATGCTGTAGGTCTTGCCGTCCGCGGCGATGCGCTGCTGCGTGGCCGGGGAGGCCGCGCTCCACTTCTGCTCCCAGCTGGAGGTGTAGAACGTGCGAAACTGGCTGGCGGTGTAGGCGCTGCCATCGTTGGCCACGCGCTTCTCCACGGGCGCTGCCCGCCACTCATCGAGGTACGTGTCGCCGTAGTACTGCTCGAACTCGGCGGCGCTGTAGGCCTGCCCGTTCTTCGCATAACGCTTGGCCTCCCCGTTGAGGTTTGCGCGCAGGCAGGACGTCGACGCCGACGTCCAGTCTTTCGAGGCGGCATAAGAGTTCTTGAGGGCGGTCGGGTCGCACCCATCCTGTGCCAAGACGAGCGTCCACTTCTGAGCGTCTGCCTTGGAGACGAGCTTCTGCAGGACGCCATACAGCTCCTTGACCTGCGACTGCTCAGCGAAGCGCTTCACCAGAGCAAGTGTGTTCTCCTTGGCAACGGGCCGGGACAGATCCAGCGAGCTCACCGAGTAGAGCAGCGCGTACATCGTCTTCAGGTCATCGGGGCTCACGTGCTGCTCCGCCAGTGGGAGCAGCTGCTTCTGGAGATCCCCCTTGCTGTAGTCCAGCACGGAGGGGCTGTAGAGGACCGTCTGGAGGGCCTTCAGGTCGGTGATGGAGACGCGGCACTGGGTCAGAATGCTCGCCTCTTTCTCCTCGGGAGCGGCCAAGAGGGGGGTGTCCAAGAGGGGGGGGTGCAAATCATGGCCGGCGGCATGTGCGCGGCCCAGCGGGGGGGCCGGGACCGTATTGAAATGAGAAGAGGCGCCATGAAATCTGGGGAAGTATCATGCCCCCCGCCATGATATCCACCCCCCCCTAGTCATCACCCCCCTCTTTTCCGCCCTCGATCTCCGCCAGGCTGTGAGCATCAGCCCGACTCAGGTCCAGCCCCGAAGGCGAATAGAAGTAGGACTCGAGCTCCTCGGGGGTCACGGCCGCGGCCAGCGCCAGGAGCGGCACGAGGATGAGGGCGCGCGCCATGGCTTCCGCTCGGAGGTTGACGGACAGACGGGATCGAGATGACCACCTGATCGAGCTGTCTTGGGCCGGAGCGACGGGAAGGCCAGCCATGGAAAGAAGGGAGGGCTGACCTCGTTTAGGGGGAAAACAAACCTACCTCGCTTTTGACCACCCTCGCTTCCAAGAGATACCAAACGATGCCAAACTACGGCCTGTACTGGTCAGGCCGCTTGACGAGGAGGCGCGTGGTATGACTTGGTTTTGCCTGGAAGCGAAAGCGGGGTAGGTAATTCACGCTCTGATCGTCGGGGATGTACTGACCCGGGTCAATCCAGACCCGGGTCAGTCGAGCCCTGCAGGATCCTGCGAGATCCTGCAGAATCCTGCACCCGAACCCGGGTCAATGCGACCCTGGCCCTGCAGGATTCTGCAAGGTCCGGCGCTCTGACTCACCCCCGATTGCATTGACCCCCGTCTCTCGAGTCCCGACCTCGTGAGAAGGTCCCGGCACTGGGGCAGCCCGAGGCCTATGCCGAGCTGTCTCCTGCCAGCACCCGAAGCATGGAGCCTGCTGGGCCGTCGTCGCCCTCCGAAGGGGCACCCACACTTCGCTCGCAGGCGGTGCAAGCGATCCGCGGGGTCGCATCCGATCCATCCCCCCCCCCTCAGCTCTCCCCAGGGAGTCGTGCCAGCGCGCACAAGCTTCGTATCTGTCCCGAGCGTCCCGCCCTCCACGGGGGGAAGTGACTGCCGAGCCCCGTCCGGAGAAGGCAGTCGTCGAGACTCAGAGGCCCGGCCAACCTCTGCCGACGGCACCACCCGCCCACGAAGGCACCCGGGCACCCCACCGGCGCGCACGGGCCCGCAGGCAGAGCCGGGGAGGACGAGCAGCGTGCGCCGAGCAGTGCCGGCGCGCGTCTCAGCGCACGGGGGCGATGGGGCGGCCTTCCGAGGCGGCGGGAGGCGCCTCCTCGGAGGGCCTCGGAGGGCCCGGCCCTCCTGAGAGACTCCTCACAAGCTGACGGCCCTGTTTTCCACCACCACCACCACCACCACCACCACCACCATAAGTTGGAGGGGGAGGTGGACCTCCTCCTCCACCTCCTCCTCCTCCTCCTCCTCCTCCTCCTCCTCCTCCCCCTTCTCGTCCGCCTCCTCCTCCTCCTCCTCCTACTCCTCCTCCTCCTCCTCCTCCTCCTCCTCCTCCTCCTCCTCCTCCTCCTCCTCCTCCCTCCTCCTCCTCCTCCTCCTCCTCCTCCTCTCCTCCTCCTCCTCCTCCTCCTCCTCCTCCTCATTCCCCCCTCCAACTTATGGTGGTGGTGGTGGTGGTGGTGGAAAACAGGCCCATCAAGAGACTCCTCACAAGCATCGGGAGACCACTCCGAGAAGCCCCCGGGCCCCTGCCTTCTCACAGAAGGCGCCCCCGTCCCCGCCCCCGCGCTCTTGCGCGCGCCGTCTGCCCACTCGACGGGACGCTCTCGCAAGGAGAAAAGACGTGCAATGTGGGTATGCTTTCGAAGCTCCGTGCGGACTCCTTGGATCGTCCCTAGCGCGCGGCAGCGCAGGAGGCGCCTCCAGGTGGGCCCGGCGCCGATCCAAGAAATCATGCGCAGAGCTCCGACAGTTTATGATTCTGCAGCGCTTCTTCTTCAGAGGCCTCCTAGATGGGGTCCGAATAGATGGGGTCGGAGGAGGCCTCCTAGGTGGGTTCCGAATAGATGGGGTCAGAGGATCGCGCCGCATCGGCGATGCATGGGCGACGATGGCGATGCATCGGAGGCATCGGCGTGGAGAAAATCGGGCTCTACTCCGAGCCGCACAGGCGATGTGTCGACAATTCGGGCCCCATCTGGGAGGCCTAGATTCTTCGAATTACGCGCAGCCGACAGGCCAAAAATGTAAGATTTGAGCAGGGATCGACCGTCCCGTCAGTCCTATACGCCTATTACGACATGCTCTTAGAACGAGCATTTTCTAAGAGCAAATACAGTGTTTTTAGAACGTAAAGCGGATGCACTAAGTCAAGATGCCCTCGGCCAGGAACTGTGGAAACTATTTCGTAGACCATCGGCACGTCAGGCCGCCTTGCCTCTACTTGAGAAGCATCCGATGCGGCCTCTGCCCACACGACTCGGCGGCGCGCACGCGAGGGCAGGAGGAGTGGGGAAGGCTCCTCAGGAAGGAGGCTGCTTCTCAGAAGGCGCGTGTCTTACACCTCTTGATGAGGCCCGCGCCTTCTGAGAAGCAGGGGTGCTTCTGAGAAGTCCTCCCTCCTCTGCGCGTGGCCGAACGACGGGGCGTCCCTGGGTAAGACGAAGCCAAGACGAGAAGGAAGGAATCGAGAATCTCTGAGATCTGGCGGCCCTGGAAAATGTCTCGGGCGCCAGCCTTCTCAGAGAGTTCCGGAACGGTCTGAGAGCGTTCCGGAACGGGATATGTCGATCCCGATACCCCAGGCTTTGGGAGGTTTCCGAATGGACTTGAAATTTGGGGTCCAACCCTGCGACGTACGAAGGGGGGAGTGGCGTCCATCCTCCATGGGGGGGCGTCCGAGTAGCCCCCTGAGGCATGTAGCCCAGGCTTCCTCTCCTTTTCTGAGCGGCCAAGCCTTTGTCGGGCGGAACTCGGGAACTTGGGGAGAACAGTCGCCTGCGAGGGGCGGCCTCCTCCGGGGCGAAGATGGACCGAATCTTACCACCATCACCGAGATCCGAACCCTCTTCCCTCGGTGGAGGCACACCGCCGATACCCGTGCTGGTGTCCACCTCCGGGCCTCCCCGAACCACTGCGGCTCTCCGGCCTGGCCCACCTCCGCTCCACACCAGCCCCCGGCCACCCCTTCCGGGGTCCACGCCCAGACCCCGCGTGCCGTGAGGAACTCATGACGGAGGGTCCTCAGCGGCTTTCTGGCCTCCAGGGAGACACTCCCTGGGCCCCGGGAGCGCCAAGAAGCCAGGCGGGGGGAAGCACCGGTCCCCAGGAAGGGGTCCAGACCTCTGGGGATCCCCGCTGTGACAAAACCTGACGTCGGGGGTCTGGGCACCGACCCGGCCCAACTCAGGGCAGCTCCCGGCGTGGCGAGGGGAAGGCCTCCAGGAGGCCCCGAGACAGGACAGGGAACGCCAGGGAGAGAGGAGCAGGAAGCAGCACGAGCATAAACTTTCGGAGCTCCGCGCGGATGTCCTGTGCAGATCGGGGCTGGGCCCGCCTCCCTGGCGCTCGGTCGGAGGCGCTGGAGGCGCCGCCAAGATTAGGTGGGGCATGTCCCCCTACAGGCGGACTTTGGACAAAAAAATGCTCCAATATTGAAAAAATGCAAGAAGAGTCCCAGACTATTGTTTTTGACTATTTTTGGATATTCCTCCTCGCCCGACTTAACGCCGAGGAGGGCCAGTGCAGATCCAAGCAATCCCCGCGGAGCCCTGAAAGTTCTATGCTCCTCGCGCCAGGGAGGGGGCCGCCGCTGTCCCCTTCCGCCGCACCTTCCCCAGCAACGCCGGGCCGAAAAGACACGCAAGCGAGGCACGACTCGCGTGGAGGCCCAGACGATTTCCTTTCGGGCCCCACGACGCCCCTCCCCCCTCTGCCCCCCTCCCCCCCTCTGCCCCCCGCTGCCCCCCTGGGGGGGCCCAGCGCGGATCCAAGAAATCCGTGCGGAGCGCAAAAAGTTTACGTTCATGGCGTGTATTCTTCTCCGAAAGAAAACCTTTCTGTGGCATTGCTGGCTCTTGCGGACCGACGCTGGTCAAAGCTGCTTGGCGCTGAATGGACGCTGATCGGCGCTGACCGACGCTCAGTTGGCGCGTTCTCAGCGAATGCCCGACGCTAGCGCACGCCGATGCACTCCAGAGACGGAGTTCCGAGGACATACAAGGCTCCCATGATCCACATGCAAGTAAACGCACCAGAATCCGAAAGAAAAACTGCCTCTGCCTCTACCAGCCCTCCTCCGACCGGGTGTCCAAGAGGAGGGCGTCCAAACGGGGGGGGTCGCAGATCACGGCCCGCGGCACGTGCGCCGACGAGGCGCGACCACAGTACGTATTGAAATACTACTTTGGGGTCCCGAAGCGGTGCGGTGACAGACCGTGCGGTGACCTCGGAACCCCACGAGACCTCACCGCACGCTCCGTCAAGGCACGGTTTCGGGACCCTGGAGGCCCCTGTCGCCCGAGACGTCCTCGGAGAACGGCTCGAGTCCCAAAACCGTGCGGTGACCCCGAATCCCCACCGACTCACCGCGCGGTGTGGTCACCACCCCGTTTGGGGGCCCCCGATATCACTGGTAACAGAAGGAGTGCCAGAACGAAGAGGAGCCGGCGCACGAGGCGCACAAGGGGTCTCGTGCAGAGCGGCGCCCGGCCGGCAGAGGTCCGAGCCCAGGGGCAGGCACGAGAGCCCCACACGAGTCGCACGATGTCCCCCGCACACGGCCTCCGCACACGGCTCGCTCGAGTACCCGTACTGCTCGTAGCAGGAAGGCAGGGGCCATGGAATCTAGGAGACACCATGGCCCAGGCCATGATATCCATCCGTCGGCGAAGGGCGTGGCTTGCGAAGGGTGTGGCTTGCAAGTGGCACCCTGAGGGGCACCCTGGAGGGCGGGCGGGGACCTCGACGGAGCTCTCCGCCGCGCCCCGAGGAGGCCCGATGAGGACAGCGTCGTGCCCCCCAGGTCCCAACGGCACCGATCGCAAACCACACCATGGCGTAACCACATCCTTTGTGGTCGCCAGATACAGGGAAAGCGAAGGGTACTGATACCGCCACTCCTCGGACCTCTCCAAGGGTGCGTTCTGACCAGAATTTCGAGGCGAATCCAACGGTGGCGACGAGGGCCTCCTTGGAGGCCCAAAACAGGGAAAACGGGGGAAAGGTAGCGGCATCGGTGCCTTTTCCCCCTCTGAGCCCGGGCCGTAAGATCCATCGCCCCCCCTTAGTCATCAGCCCCCTCTCGGCTGGCCCTCCTCCGACGGCCTTTGCCCCCGCCCGCTCGCCTGGGGGTGCCTTCTCCGCCTGCGCCGCGGCGGGCGCCGGCGTGGGCGCCTGAACGCGCGCAGGCGCCAAGGGGGCCGTGCTCAGAGCGCCCATCGGAGGGACGTGATGAGAAT